CGGGGTGTGGCTCCCGAGCCCCGTCTGTTCCTGGCAGGTCCCGGGCGACTTCCCCGCCGCCACTCCGCATCCTTTCCGGTCCGCGGCGGGGCCGGGGGCTGGAGAGAAGGCAACTTCAGTGTCCCCTGCCCCAGGGTGCGGGGACGGGTCCCCTCGGTGCTACGTGGAGATTCCAAGTAAACAGTGCGCTGCACAGAGGCCGTTTCTCGGCCAGCCCTCTAGCTTTGTCCCCTTCCCAGCTGGCTGACGTTCTGCGTGGAGAGTCAGGACTTCTCCTCCTCCTCTCCCTTTCTTATCTCTGAAAAGCTGGGCCTGCCTGCCTCCCCCTCCGGAATCTGGATTCTTCAAAGGAGACCTTAATGAGCGTCTTTCTTTATCCATTGCCAGCTCTCTCCTCTGCCCCCACCCGAGAGTCACCAGAGCTGACAGGGTAGCCCCCCAGCGGCAAATGCTCCCCGTCGTTGGACTCGCCCTTGCTGCCCAACCTGGACTCCTGGCTCAGCTTTGAGCAGCGCCCCCCCTGCGCTTTATCTGTGTGGCTCTTATCACTGTCTGCCTTATTTTACAGTTACTTTTGTGCCTTCTTTATCGTCCCTGCTGGATTGTGAGCTCCTGGCTTGGAGACTGAGTCATCTCTGGGCCTAGCCCTGATCAGCGTCTGCATGGAGCAGAAGCCCCTCTGAGGCTTGTTCCTGGGACCCTAGTGGTCTGGTTCTGGACCGTTTCCTCCTGTTAAAGAGTCTGTATTTTGTGCTGCCCAGGCCTCAGCCGCTGCAGAGAAACACAGTGAGTTAGGAAGTGCCATTCCTATAGGCGGTGACTTGCCAAATGACTAGGACAGCACAATCTCTGCTGTGAGCTGGCCAGGCCCTGCCTGTAGGTTCCCCCAGTGGTGTGTGTGGAACGGGCTGTTCTCTCTTCTGGCTTTCTCTGGCTGCTAATGCTCCGGAAACGCCAGGGTAGAGTTAGACTGGGAACCAAGAGGCCTGGGTTCCATCCCTGGCTTCTTGCTAACTTATTTTGCGAACTTAACCAAGTTACTTGGTATTTTTTGTTTTTGTTGGTGCTAAGTTGCCCCTGTAGGGGGAGGACTCCAATTTACAGTGCTCCTGCCTCAGCTGCCAGAGGGCTGGCATTACAGGACACTGGTGTTTCTTGGTCTTGGTTGCTCTGATGGAATTTGCAAGAAAGTTCTTCTGTCTATACAAGGTCCATGGGGACCTGGGTCCTGTTTGCCTCACTGCCTCTTTCTGGCCTTGCCAATCCTCACACTCAGCTCCAGCCCTCCAAGCTCCTTGGAGGCTTTTCCAGGCACGGGGCTCTCTGCCTTCCCTGTGCTTCTTGTCATCTCCAGGGACCCAGTTTATTTTCCTCGTGGAGTCGGTCCCCTCCACTTCCTGCCACCCTAATCTGACTTGCCACCCAGCACGGTGCATCTGCTCCCGCATACTCCTGGGCCAGGCTGAGCTCCAGGCCTCTCACACAGTAGACACCTGGAGAATAAGAGGGCTGGTCTAGATGACTCCCATGAACACATGGCCATGGTCCATAGCTCTACATCTTCTGTTTAGAGGCCTGCTTGAAACCCCAGCCAGGTGTTCTCCTAACCAGCCCATCCAGTTAAGGAGAATCAACTTGGTTTTTGAGACAAGGTACTCATAGAGGACGTGTGATTAGTTTAGAGATTTGGAGAACAAATGTCTGGTGCTTCAGGGTCCCTACCTTGCTGTTGAAGGAGAAGATACTCAGGCCCTTGTGCTCGTGTAGGAGAGGATAGTAATGAAGTGGTACTCTGGGGTCTTTTGTCATACAAAGGGGGGACCAGCTGCTGTTTATGACCCGCTGGTAAACCCAGAGTGAGCTGTCAGGTGCCTGTATCTTGCTTCTCAGTTTTACTTGGATGAGATCAGTCCCTTTGCAGACAGTCCTAAACAGGGCCCCTAGCCTCCAGACAGCTTCTCTGTGGGTCATTTGGTTGATGTTTATTAAGCTCTTCCTGGGTATCTTGAGAAAGTATCAGATGTAGCCATGGCAAATCCTCACCTCATTTGCCATAAAATCATAATCTGAGGTATTGCCCTCTTTGCTAAAGCTTCTTACAGTACTTTGTAACAAACATTTCTTTTAGAGTTTAAGACCAAGCAAACTTTGCTTTCCTGGGAAACTAGGTTGCCTTTTCCTTTCTTAATCAGGAAGATAGTGGGGAAGGAAGACAGGCATTGTTTGCATACTCTGCACCACACAGTATGCGCACAGAGCCACGGCACTCTCTGAGGAGTCATTGGTGTTTTTCCCCATTTTCCCTAGGAAAGAAGTTGAGACACAGGGTCGCTGAACTGCCCAGGATCTGTCTGGATTTGTTCCCATTTCTCTCGGACTCTTTCCACCACACATTTTCCAAATGATTATGATTTCCCTCTTCTCCTTGGCTTCCAGGATGCTTCGCATACAATGGGATGTTTTGTTTTGGTTTGGTTTGGTTTGGTTTTGGTTTTGGTTTGGTACTGGGAATCAAACTCAGGACCACAAGCTTGCCAGGCAGGCACTGTGCTGCTGAGCTATATCCCTGGCCTACAATGTGATGTTTACGCTGTGTAGCAACCACATTCACTTCCCCTCACGGTCAGTGTCTGTATTTCTGTTTACCATTTCTCTGTGTGCATGCTCATGTGTAAATTTATCTATATATTTTTTTGTTTGTTTGTTTTGTTTTTTTGTTTTTTCTCCGGTACCGAGAACCGAACTCACGACCTTGTGCTTGCCAGGCAGGCGCTTTGCTGCTGAGCTAAATCCCCAGCCCCTTATATTTTTTATAAATTGTCACAAACTTTCTGGAAAGCTGTGGACAGATAATGGAATTGAGTTTAGTAAACAATGTTTGTCAGATGCTTATGCCCACTCACAGTGTGGTTTAGGCAGAGGAGTTCCCAGGTAACCCAGGGTGTGTGTGATAATTGTTGCTTGAAGGCAGAGTTCACAGGGGCAGACGCCCTTCCTGGGTAAGGTAGTCAGGGCTGCCTTCCTGGAAGACTGGGATTTGAAATCAGCCACAGCGATCACACAATCACACTTGTGCCAGACTTAGATGCAAAGTCTGGCAGTCAAAACAGCCTCTCTGGAGAAGGCTTTCTGATGGGAGTGGAGAGGATCACTTCTGGGCTTGAAGTAGGGAGGCTGGTGATGCCTTTTTCAAATGGGTCAGAGAACATGGAAGCTGAGAGAGAGGCAGCAGCTGGCAGAAAGAGCAGACTTGCCCAAGGCTGCTGTGCCAGGCTGGGCCCAGACTGACCAGGTCCCGAAAACACCAGGTCAGTCTCTTTTCTTTATGCTGTTGAGGCTGGCAGCAGCAGCCTGCACGTTGGTTCTTTCTTTCTGCACAGTGAGTATAAGGTTATTGACTTCCTTAGACCCAGGCCAAGGAAACACCGTGACAAACCTCTGTAAACCTTTATGGCCAAAGACATAAAGAGCACTGTTAGGAGAGGAGGGCTGGCATTTGTGTAAGTTAGTCATGTGAACAGTTGCCCTTGCCAGAGGACAAAATGGCAGTTAACCAACAGGCAGGGATATGATAATAGACTAGTCAAAAACCAAGCAACCCCTTAGGTGTTTTCTGGATCTTCATTCTCTCATGGCCAGGAAGCAAAAGAGGAGGCAGAGGTAGAGGTGGAAGGGGAGCCCCAGCAACCCCTTAGGGAAAGAGAAAAAGAACATCCAAAAATCATTGTCTCATCCCCTCCTTGCTGATATGCCCTGGACATCCTCGAAAAGTCTTCCTGTGAGTACCTGTACCTGTGGTTCCTTGTTCTCATTGTGGAGTCAGAGGTCACAGTCAGGGAGTCCTGGATTG